TCGATGCATCTTTTTGAATGGTGACGCGAAACCCGAATCTCACGTGGTGGAATGGCCTATGCAGAGTTTGGGCAGCACAAATCTCCTTGATTATCAGTTTCGCCCTTGTCGGCAGTTTCCCCCGCCAACAAATAAATTAACGCGTAAGCATCAAACCGTCACAGAAAGGGCTCCTATATATACTTTGAGGATTTAAAAACAATTTGTCTTTTTGGGGATTTGCATTTCTTATGTGATTTTTTGATCCGCCGTATCCTATAGGCGGAAAGCGGATACGGTGCCCGCCGTATCATAGCCCATATTTTATAAAGTTAATTTTAATAATTTAAACAAACACTTTTTCATGATTTTTTTTTTTTGGTTTGCCGTTTCTGACCGCGCTCTATCAGAACACGAAGAGACCTAAGCCCCGGCCGATTTCCCCTTCGAGTTGAATCTTGCAGCACACGGACGGACGGACGGAAACACATAGTGGCCCCAGGAAAATATTATATTTAATATACTTTCCAAAACCTAAGCCTACTACTTGTCAATATTTTGCCAATCCAAGTCCGAGCCAATCCGAAGCACAATCGCCTAGCCCAAACCAGCCACTCCCCCTTTGCCCCGGCCGCATAAATAGGCGCTGATAGGGCGCCGCCCAGGCTACTGTACCCTTCCCTAAAACTCTCAGTTTATTGCTATTTTCCTTCAGAAATATCAGATTATTTCTTTGATTTTGGCCGAATCCCTATTAAGTAGATTTTTACAGATAATCTACACAAAGTTGCGTAAATCCAAGCTACGCTACGATAATGGTATGTTTCCCAAGAAGTTAATTCTAATTTTTTAGACTGATAATGATGATGACCGGTTTTACTCCTTTGAAATTTATGCGAGGATATGTTTTGCAAAAAGCTTACCATCGTCTGCTGACTGAACAACCGAAATTGAAACTGAAACCGATAGGCACCGGTCATCATCATTATCAGTCTAAAAAATTAGAATTAACTTCTTGGGAAACATACCATTATCGTAGCGTAGCTTGGATTTACGCAACTTTGTGTAGATTATCTGTAAAAATCTACTTAATAGGGATTCGGCCAAAATCAAAGAAATAATCTGATATTTCTGAAGGAAAATAGCAATAAACTGAGAGTTTTAGGGAAGGGTACAGTAGCCTGGGCGGCGCCCTATCAGCGCCTATTTATGCGGCCGGGGCAAAGGGGGAGTGGCTGGTTTGGGCTAGGCGATTGTGCTTCGGATTGGCTCGGACTTGGATTGGCAAAATATTGACAAGTAGTAGGCTTAGGTTTTGGAAAGTATATTAAATATAATATTTTCCTGGGGCCACTATGTGTTTCCGTCCGTCCGTCCGTGTGCTGCAAGATTCAACTCGAAGGGGAAATCGGCCGGGGCTTAGGTCTCTTCGTGTTCTGATAGAGCGCGGTCAGAAACGGCAAACCAAAAAAAAAAATCATGAAAAAGTGTTTGTTTAAATTATTAAAATTAACTTTATAAAATATGGGCTATGATACGGCGGGCACCGTATCCGCTTTCCGCCTATAGGATACGGCGGATCAAAAATCACATAAGAAATGCAAATCCCCCAAAAAGACAAATTGTTTTTAAATCCTCAAAGTATATATAGGAGCCCTTTCTGTGACGGTTTGATGCTTACGCGTTAATTTATTTGTTGGCGGGGGAAACTGCCGACAAGGGCGAAACTGATAATCAAGGAGATTTGTGCTGCCCAAACTCTGCATAGGCCATTCCACCACGTGAGATTCGGGTTTCGCGTCACCATTCAAAAAGATGCATCGAACATCGAAAATTTATTATGCTCAAAATCACGATTACAGCTGTAAACGCTATCGATCAATCTTCCAACGGCGACTCCTCCTCATCCGGATCCTCTTCGTCATCGTCATTTGGGCTCGTCTGCGCTTCGGAGTCGCGTATTTCAGGGGAAGACTCCGACTCCTCTTCGCGTGGGTCTAAGAACCAGCGCGTATAAACTTGCAAAGTAGAAAACTCGTGAGAAATAAAGTTCATACCCTCTCGATCGTCCGGGTCTGCGTAGATCGCCATTAGCGTAATTTTTATCCTTTCGAAAATGGCGGGATCGCGGCTGCTCAGAAGGCAGAATCAAACCTAAAAGCTTGTGTAATTAAGAATCCAAGAACAAAATTGGGATTTCGGTGTTTTCGAATAAGCCGCATTGCTTATATGCCTCCGGTCCGGCCTTTTATCGGGGATCTAGGAAAAGGCGGAGAAAACTGAGCGTAAGATTATGATTTTAGCGCGTCAGTTTCATCTTTGTGTACAAACTCCTAATGTAAGCGTAATTCAATGTTTGCCACTAATAGTTTTTCGGGTTTTTGGGCCCAGCTAACAATATTTTAGCCAGCTGGTGCAACTAAGAAATCGACCGACCGCCTCCGGCAATCGAGAAACCTTACAAGGAGTGTCCTTTTGGAATCATCGGCAAAACGATTCGAGACCCAGCTCATTCGATAGAGAATTGAATTCTGAACAAGACTGTGTTGTTCATTTTTGCGGAATGGCTGTCCCTGATTTTATAAAATTAAAAAACTGCCGGCGACGCCCATACATTGGTGCTTGGGGAGCGAGTTGTTAACTGGATACCCAATGTTTCGCCGGCAAATATATAGTTATGTATTCCGGGCAGTACAAATGACGCGCGAATTTTGTGCGGCAATGGACCCCAGAGCCACACAGAATTCGGACCCTTTTCCCTCTTGTGCCGTTCCCATCCCACCCAATGACTTGTCACTATGGCCTAATGGAAAGCTTCTAGGCCTACAAAACGGGAGTCCTGGGTTCGACCCCCGCCCGCGGAATGGTTTTTCCTTTTTGAGCCCCGAAAAGGTTGGGCATCCCTTTAAGGTTTCGCGCTTGGTTTTTTTAATTCTATAAAATCAGGGACAGCCATTCCGCAAAAATAAGCAACACAGTGATGTTCATAATTCAATTCTCTATCGAATCTGGGTCTCGAATCGTTTTGCCGATGACACCAAAAGGACACTCCTTGCTAGAACAGCGATAATGACCGCTAAAGCTTCCACGGCCAACCAAACAGGCCAAAAACGGCATTATGCCGGGAGGGACAAAGCTTCCATGGACATGGAGCATAGCGCGCGCCAAAAAGCTTAAGCTCTTACAACTTTTTCAAACCCACTTAGGATTCAAAACCATTATCAATTATTACAGAGTAAAATTTTACGGTTCGAATGATACCAATCATCAAGTTAGCCCTCTGAATCGCTTTCCACAAATTCGCCAACGAAAACCACCTTCGTTTTGATACTTTCTGAACTCACAAGGATACCTCCCCAGATCGAACTTTCAAAAAAAATTTGTTGAAAGTTATAAGTCATAGTAGTTTTGTCCCCATACATTTTTGAGCCGATAGGAGGGCCTTATTGCGGCTAAATTTGCGTATGCTTCCATTTTAGTGCAGCAGTAGTATATACTACAGGGTGTCTAAAAAAAGCACCCCTCCGGCATTTCGCCGCCTTACATGCAATCGGTCCCATACTTTGTACAAAGGTGTATCGGACCATAAATAACCACAATCCTGAGTTATAGCCCGATCGCTACAGTAGTTTTAAAGTATAGCCAAAATCCTATTTTTTACGCGATTCTTGACAGTTTTTTCGGCTATCTTTTTGGACTTTGCATCGATTTGCATCGACTTCCGGCTGCAAACCCCTAATTTCGCTTAATATCGGGTGTGTATTTGGGTTACAAAAATCGTTGAAATCAACGGTTATTTGATAATATTTTATCATCAAAAATTTCTTGGGGTAAAGAACACTTGCTGCTTCATTTTCACTTAATATTCGAATGGTCGATTCCGACGAAAACCTGATGAAAAACGGATAATAACGTTTATTTTTGCTGTATCTCGAAAATTACTGTAGCTGGCGGGCTATAACTCAGGATTGTGGTTATTTATGGTCCGATACACCCTTGTGCAAAGTATGGGACCGATTCGATGTAATACGGCGACATGCCGGAGGGGTGCCTTTTTATGGGACACCCTGTATTCGAGAAAAAACCAAAAGTTAGGTAGAAAATCGACTTCCTCCTGTCGTAGGCTTTCATTGCATAATGTCCTGCATGGCGCTGAATGCATCAAGCTTGGTGGTTTCTCCTTCAATCTTTGAAAGTGGAGAAACTTAAGATGGTTAAAATAGTCTGGAGATTCCAGGAATGGCTTCAGAATTATTGAATTCCCATCAAAAGGATCAAAAGAACATGCGCCGGCATCTGGGTATTTTCCAGGAATCAAATAGTGATTTTAAACTTAATTTATATCGACTACCGTACAGCTTTAGCAGATTTGGAAAACGACATCTTGCTCAGCATTTTCGTTTCGCTATCGAACTAGCTAAGCCTCGCTCAAAGCCATAACATCACCTGGGAGCGACTCATGAGCGGCGTGGATCAGACTGGTTGGGCCCTTTATTATCACTCCAAAATAAAAAATCTCGACTAACTCTGGCATAAACAAAATATATGGTATAACCTCCATAACCGAAATACTATGTCGATCACGACTTCGTCATGCTCTAGCCTATTGCAACTTTTGTTTCTGAGCAAAAAATGCCAAAATGTCTCTTCTGGCCTGTTTTTTGACACCAGTGAAAGACAGCGCTCATTTGATATGCCTTTTGTTTGCCATTTCAATAGTATCATTTTCCATAGCGCTGTCGTCATATCGAGTCAGCTTGGCCGACTTACGGGGCTGATTTACGCGTCAAAAACCATTGGAGGGACGAGGAGGACAAACTGAGCAAATACGGACCTATCGTGCTCTGAATCATATCGTCGGATAAGCTCTTGGCCCCGCCCATATCATCCACTATATAAATCATCTTTTTCCCCTCGAAGCCACAACTACGATTTTTTCGAGCTTTTGGTCTTACGGTTTAAAAGTTCCTGAACCCGATGGTTTTCATGTTAAGCTCCTGCTATTTTTATGTATTTTCAGGATGTGGGGACAATTCGAGTACACCCCTGTGTCGAAGCCCGGTGCCGTTGGGACGAGTATGCCGGCCGCGCTAAAGGGCGAGCGCGACAAGGATGGAATGATTTCCGACAACTACAAGGGCCGTCCACGCAACGCCGATCCATTCCACCCGCGTGAGTTTGTATAGTAGCGAATACTAGGTCTTAAGGGTTTTAATGTACTCCATTTACTTTCTCGTGACTGGTAAAGTACCTTAGCTAGCTTTACGAAATTAACTTTCCTTCAAACTCCATTGCGAATTAATTGTGTATTAAAACGATACGTTACTTTTTCAGATGCGCCGAATCCCGACAGGGCCAAGACGGTCTCCGACTGGACGAAGGGCCATATGAAGGAGCGGCGTGAAGAGGCGAAGAGGGCCAAGGAAAATAAATGAGAAAGTTATTTTGCAAAACCACATAATAAATATATACCAATATCAATATCAAAATGCAGGATGACTCAAAGAATTGACACCCCTATAGCGGTCCGGAGAAAGCGCATGAAAAGTGTGACTTGTGACTTTTTAATCTGAGGGGTTCCGCAACCATGTGTCACCAGGGGGCGCACATTGGTGCGCTCCCGTTACACTTACAACTTTTGGTACAGTGACACGGATGTGCCAAATCTTGGTGACACAAAAGTGAGTGGTCAACTGAGAGGCCGAAAATCGCCGCTTTTGTTTTGGACGCCGGGTAAATTTTGACAAAATGTATGAGAAATCCTGAAAAGTTCTCAGCAATGGGCCAAACTTCAAGGGGCCATATCTCGGCCATCCAGTATCCAATTTTGATGACCTCGGCATCTATCGATAACTACTCCTTGAGATCTATCGATTGTCGTTAAAGGTATTGTATGCAAATAGCTGTATGCAGAGATAAATTGCAAAACGGCTTTTTCGTGATTTTATAAAAAATTTATTGGGTCCGTATCTCGGCCGTTCCTGATTCTGAGAGCCCAGAGCCCGGGCTCAGCTATTGCGGGAATCATTCCGGGAACGCATTGTAGGAACATTGCGGGAATATTCCGGGAAACATTGCGGGAAACTAGCCACTTTTTCCCGCAATGCCGTCTCATCTACATTCCGGGAAAGTAGTCCCGGAATGTTTTCCCGCAATGTAGATGAAATGCATTCCCGGAATGTTTCCCCGAATGGTTCCCGGAATGTCCCGGAGTGTCCCGGAATCATGTTGGCGTTAAAATCCTAAATTCTAAATTAGAAATTATTCTTTCTAAAGTTAATGTCAACTTCATACACAACGGCGCAGTGTGCATGCATCGGAGATAAGGAAAACGTATCGCATTTTTAATGCTATTTTGGACCTCCAAAACCGGCCTCAGAACCGATTGTTCACTACGAGATTTTGCGGGCTGGCAAATAACGAGTTTCTAGACAACTCCTGAAAATTTCATAAAATTTGAGCAATGGGAACATCGATTCCCGGAATGCTGTGCCCGAGATTTTGTCGGGGAACCAGACCTTATATAAAACCATTCCCGGAACAACATTCCGGGAAACTCGAAAAGTTTCCCGGAATACATGAGACGACATGGTACACATAGGATAACGGGGAAATAACGGGGGGCACTCAAACTTTTTATATGATAAAAGTATTTTTAAATAAGCTTTTTTCGGGCTGTAAAAAAACTCTTAGTATATTTTTCGGTCCTCTATCGAATGGCATTTTCAAAAATTCGAAAATATTCAAAACGCCGAAAATTTCCCCCCCCCCCCTGTTATCCTATGTGCTGCCCATAGTTTTCAAAAATAGTTTTTAGGCTATAAAACTTTTATAATACATTTTTTCGCGTTGTAAAAAAATCTCTTAGTATATTTTTTGATGTTCTATCGATTCGCGTTTTCAAAATATCGAAAATCTCAAAAATTTGGCTTCCCCCGTTATCCTATGTGCTGCCCATAGATTTTGATCAATTTTTGTTTATTCGATAAAAAATTTAATTTACATTATTTCGGGCTGAAATTAATTTTCCTAGGGCAGTTTTCGACGCTTTATCGAATGACGTTTTCAAAATACCGAAAATGTCGAAAATTTCGAAAATTTGACTTTCCCCCCCCGTTATCCTATGTGCTGCCCATAGATTTTCCTCAATTTTTGTTTATTCAATAAAAAATTTCTATTACATTATTTCGGGCTAAAATTAATTCTCTTAGTATATTTTTCGACGCTCTATCGAATGGCACTCGCAAAATCCCTCAGTAATTGCAAATTTCGTAATAATGAGTGCCCCCCGTTATTTTATTCCCCCCCCCCGTTATCCTATGTGTACATGAATACATCAGACGACATTCCGGGAACTCATTCTGGGAACCGTCCCCGGAATGGAGTTCCGGGAATCCATGCCTGGAATTCCCGCAATAGATGAGAAGGCATTCCGGGAATAATTTGCACCACCTTTCCCGGAATGTTTCCCGGAACATTGCGGGAACATTGCGGGAATGCCCTGAGGCATTCCGGGAATATTCCCGCAATAGTTGAGCCCGTGCTCTGGACCCTACTCCCAAATCGATTCAGGTCGAGAGCTACAAAATGACATATCGCATGTCCAGAATGGAACTATCTACGAATTTAGCCAGCCTCCCAAAACCTCGGCGACAGAACTTTCGTTCCAACCTGATATATATTTAGCGAATGCCATAACAGCAACAGTAAATATAACCGCAAGAGCAGCTCCAAAATAGGTGACAATTCAGTCCTAAAAATTGGCCAAAAGCGGGCAGACGAGCAAAGGATTTTGGGGGAATTTCGTAAACACTCAACATAAATAAAGCCGAAAAGGATTTCGAAGCCAAAATTAACGAAAAGTAACAAAAATTCTATATCGATTCGGAGTTCTAGGACCGGAGCTGATTTGGATAAATTATTGACGCAAAAATTAGAATTTCTCGCCCCGGTGTCAGTAGTAAATCATTCATCACCCGTCCCGTATGAAAATGGGCTGGGCGACCTTCGTGGGGCTGCTGTTGATGCAGGTCTGTTGGTATTCAAATTAGCTAATATATTCAAATTTTCTAGGTGGCCACCGTGAATGAAGAGGAGGGCACGAGCGGGATGGAGGAGCCCGAGCAAAAGAAGGGGCGCGGCTCAAGCAAGCAGAAAGAGGACGGTGGTGAACCGAAAGAGAGGACGGAGGTGAAGACGACCGAACCCAAGAATCCCATCGTCTTCAAGAAGTCACCCCCCACCCGTTGCCACGCCCTCGTGCTGTCATCATGTTTCATCGCAACTTGAAGCCATGTGCCATCGTTTGTTTTTTATTCTGGTTCAGGCTAAATCCTCGTTTACCCCCCCAGCGTCCAATTCATGCGCCAAGGCGCTCAAAATGTTCTCCACGCCAAATACTTGATTACTATTCACCTTTTTTGACAAAAAAAATAATAAGCAACAATTTGAGGAACAATTATTGTTGCGGCGCAACTATAGTCTGGCGGGGGAAAGAGCGACGCCACGCCCCTCTAGACGCTTACGACTGGGAAAGGCCGGGATGTTAGCCCAATATAACTAATTGTTATTTAAGCTTGAAATGTATTTCTTTCTGACTTTTTAAAAAAGTATTTGGAACGCAAGTATTTGACGAGGCGAATATTTTGAGATTTTTGTCATTTTAATTGGATGACTGGGAGATCCAGGCTGGGGGGAGGCGAGTGGAGGGGACAAACTGGAAATTAGCGAGAACAAGGCTTTTACCCAATTTGTGCTTTACGTAGAAATTATAGACGCTGGAGGCAATTCATCATCTGCTGCTCGTCAGGCCTTGGGCATTCGGTTTCGTGAGCAGGCCGTACACGCTCACCTTTCTTCCGATCCAGGTAAGAGTTTTGCAAGCTTTACAGTCTTTCTTTTATTTTTAGAACTGCTCGCTGACGATGCACCGCGCCGCCATGGTGCTCCTCCCGTTCACAGTCCCGGTTGCCATTCTTTTTGCCCCATTTACACAATCATTTCCAGCAACTGCCCCTCTTCGTCTACACCAGCATGGCGCCACAAAAACTCGGTGAAGAGACCCCGCCTCGAGATGGCAACGATGAATCGGGCGGGACGTCATACACGGTAAGCCAGGTCTTCGATTGGCCTATGCTTAGGCTTCGGCTTCAGTTATGCCGATTCACTAGACTTCGAATTAGCTTAGCCGGTTTAGCTTTATGTCGAACTTGGACTCGTTAGGTTGATTGTTGGACCTAGATATAGGCATGAAATGGGGGGAGCAACTTTTCTTCCTTTCGTTCTTTTTATGGCAAAAACGCTTGGTTTTATTAGTCAAATTGCTCGTATGTTACCCCGAAAAACCGGATAATTGTACCAAATGGCTTGCTCAATAGCGCTTCTTTCTCTCGATTGGGTTGTTGTTGTTAGTTGTTCTCTAGCCAATGCTCGGAAACACCTGAAATCTGTTTTTACTGCAGCGAAATATAATCCCCCTGTGATTCTATCACCCCTTCCCCGCTACGCTATAACTACCGTATCGAGTCTGCGAGTTCTGATTAATAATGAGTTTCTGAATATTTTTGGGAAAGTTCGCCATATCATAAGCTTAAAATTTAACTATATTTTGGATAACCCGTAAAGTCCTGATTTTCACAATTTCCGAATTTTGCAGCCAGTTCTCCTGCCACCAACAGGACGCCAGCCACAGGGACGGCATCGCGCGGAGCCGGTGGCTCCGTCATACTCGGTAAGCCAGGTCTTCGATTGTGCCTATGCCTAGGCTTAGGCTTAACAGACTTATTCATTAGACTTAAATTAGTTTAGCCGGATTAGGTTTTTAGATAACTTGGCCTCGTTAGGTTGATTATTAAACCTAGAGATCGGCATGAAATGGGGAGCAACTTTTCTTCCTTTCGTTCTTTTCATGGCAAAAACGTTTGGTTTTATTAGTCAAATTGCTCTTATGTTACCCCGAAAAACCGGATAATTGTACCAAATGGCTTGCTCAATTCAATTCATAATACAAATTTTTTTTCAACAATTTAAGACAATATTTTAGTACCGGATCATCGACGAGATCCCGCGTGCTCTCTTGGCGTCGCCCCGCCACACACCACCACAGGCCACTGCGATTCCCCAGCCGCAACTTCAGGTTCTAGATTGTCATTTAGATTAAATTCTTAAATTTCAGGTCATCCACCGGGTCGTCAAGCCCATCGACGACAACGCTAAGAACAACGAGAGCGAAGAGCCCACCAAAGTAAGCCAGACTAGGAGTAGGCTTGGCTTGCGCTTAGCTTAGTTTAGGCTTGGGTTAAGCTTAGCCGGTAGACATAATCCAGATGCAGTCATAATGTAGTCATTCAAATGTTGTGCAATTTAAAACTTATGGTTTTAGGATCCGTTGCTCCCAGCTAAGTGCCCGAATGCTACGTCTGCGACTCGGAAC